ATGATGATGATAATTATTATTATTATTACTATTATTATTATCAAAATTAAATCATTATTACCTTTATTATTCCTGCTGCTGTTGTTGTTGTTGCTGGAAGGGAAGAGGGTGGGGAAGACGGGAGGGTGGGATAGGAAGGAGGTGGGATGGGGCGGGGATGGGATGGGGGAGATTTGTCAGGGTCTCAAATTATATATACAATGTAATATACACGTCTATCAACTTTTCTCTAATAAACGTCTTTAGTGTAGCGGTTATAGGCGTTGTGTAGTGGCACGCAGAGGACCCGAGTTCGACTTCCCTAGTGGGGACGATTTTTATCGAGTACCTCGGTCTTTCTGCTGGGACGTTGTTACATCCCTTTGAGCCCGGTTTGGCCCTGACAAATAGGGTCTAAGCCTAACGTCTCGCAAATGATATCCATGGTACCGATAGGGCTGTGCAGCGTCTACATTTATTTTAGAAGGGTTCGAAATGATTGGTTTGCTTTGGGACAGGCAATGATTTTGTTTGTTAAATTAAATGTATGTTTGAGTTGTACAGTCGAGATTGTCTAAGATGGTCACCCTTTGTTGAAAAGAAAAGAGGCCATCTCAGACAGGTAGACGCCTTACACAATGCCATTATGGTTTGGGGGTTTTTTATGCAAGGAGGAAATAGGCATTGGCTGATTGTACATGTGACAGCCTTATACAGGCGGCGGTTCGAGCAGGTGACTGTATAATATTTGTCTTTCTAAACCTATTGAATTAACGGACTGACGAATGTGTATCGACAAGTTGTTTGCTTTTTTGTTTGTTTTTTGTTTGTTTGTTTTTTGGGGGGGGTTGGGGGATGGGGGTTGTCTTTCGCTCTTGTGTTGTTTGTGGGGTTTGTTGTTTTTTATTGTGGTTTTGGTTTGTTTTGTTTGTTTGTTTGTTTGTTTTTGGGGGGGGTTGTGCTTGTTGTTGTTGTTTTTTCCAAGGGGTGGGTTGAAATATAAAGACAAAATACAAGTACATTAAATACGTTCCCAACTTTTCTCCCTTCAGAAGTCCACTTCGAGCAAAAGCGCACACGCCAGACGTACACCCGGTACCAGACCCTGGAGCTGGAGAAAGAATTCCATTTCAACCGCTACCTCACCCGGCGTCGTCGTATAGAGATCGCACACATGCTGGGCCTCACCGAGAGACAGATCAAGATCTGGTTCCAGAACCGACGCATGAAGTGGAAGAAGGAGAACAATCTGCAGAAACTGACCGGCCCCGATAAGCCGATCAAAGAGGAGTGCGTGAGTCCAAGAGACTGCTCCGCGAAAGTGAAAAACGAGGAGTGTTCTTCGCCGGACTGCTAGTGGTAGCGAATCAAACTTTTGTATATTCTTATTCGGAGACTGCTCCACCCACGAAAGTGAAAAAAAAAAAAACTACGAGTGTTTTTTCACAAGAGTGCTAGTGGTAGCGAATTAGACTTTTGTATATTCGGAGACTGCTTGACGAAAGTGGAAAACGAGGAGTGCTCTTCTACGGACTGCTATAAGTGGCAAATCAAACGTTTGTAATATTATATCAGAAGAACTAAACCCCCTTTGCGGTACTGTACCTTTTGTGTCAAATTGCTTCTCCTCCACCTCCCGTGTGTTAATTCTCTTATAGACTAGTGACCTTCTCGGCCCTTGGCGAGCCGTTTCCATAAACTGTTGGGACAGTGAGTGCCCGTTCTGATAATGTTATTATAATGATCTGTTGGAATAAACCGGCAAATCTTATTTATAAGCACGAAGCAAACAACCTGTGCGCTTGGGCTTCTGCAATTGGTCGCTTTTAAGGACAAGCGGACTAACCCGGATTTCGGGGGTTTCCAGAAATCTTGACCTATACCAAAAGTGGGCATTGCCCTACCTATAGCAAAAGTTTGGTTTCATTGGTGTGTATGTGTGTTTGGTTGTAGAGAAAATTCTCTGGCGTCTTTTAAAGAAACTGAACAGGGAGCAAAATTTTTACCTTAAATTTTCTCAAAACAGCATTTTCCGGGATAGCCCCCTTGTGCTTAAAGCGACCAATTCTGCTCTGAGAATCCAGACGATTGTGTCGCAATTAACGTCTCAGAGTTCTGGGCCGACCAATGCCGTAAGCCCAGCAGTGACTAGTATAACGATCCTATCACTAAATCAACCACGCTGTTGTCACTGGCAAGAGTTAGTTTGTCACAAGAGTTGCTCTTTTATGAACCATGAGTCACTTTGATGTCGTTACTTTTCTTCTGGGTTTTGCTACTAATGACGTCATTTGCTACTGATGACATCATTACCTCTTTTCTCTTAACCTAAATAAAAACCTATTGAAACTGCCTCGGGTGTTAACCTATTGGAATAAAGTGGCGTAGCTCTTGCTCCGAGTGAAGCCAGATTACGTCTAGGAACAAACATGACCTTACGTTGGTGTCCGCCTCTAATCATATCATTGCTTCCTCAAATCAGGTCAAACACTTCTTTGTCAGAAATTGTGTTCCTCACGACTGTAATTTCTATTGGTGGCTGGCACTATAACATGTTAAAAGAACACGCTACACAAAACTATAAGCAGCGCTAGATGGTAAAAGAAATAAATTCTATAATTTTTCCTCTAAGAGTGTTTTATCTAATTTGGCAGCGGTTACTGTTAATCTCGGGCACAGACTCGTTTTCACTGTAATAGATAGCAGGATTGAGACTGGTCAGTATTGGTTCACCGTGTACGCATTATATGTAATAAAATTTGTTTCTCGTGGATGAGAAAGGAAAATGCAGTCAAAATTAGTCGTCTAATTTGTCTAAGATCACCCCATTCCCTGTCGGGGAGAAAAGTGGTTGCTGTGGACAGGTGGAAATCCAAGACTGCCATCCATTGTAGAAGACAAACGTGTGGCGTCGGTGGCCTACTTGTAAGGCAGGTGGACGCGCAATCGTGACGTTACGGGTTCGAAGGTTCGATCAGCGGGCCCGCCCGATGCTGTGTCCTTGGGAAAGGCACTTTACACGAATTTTCCTCACTTTACCCAGGTGGAAATGAATACCCGGCCATAGACAGTGAAAGATCTTGTCAGTATGTTAGTGTTTCAGCGCCTGTAAAAGGCCGCTTCCACTGTATGCTTCACAGGAAGTTGAGGTTGTTTCAGAAAGCTCTCAGGTGCTGCTGGGGTAATAGTATAGATTGTGAAGTGCATAGAGATTGCCGTTTAGCGGGGATTTGCGCTATACAAGTGCTATCTATTAATACTATTGTTTTAGACAGGTGGCGGTCTTGGCCAGTGTCAGTAAAATGAAGGAAAAAACCGCAACGGGGAAATGGTGAGTGGTCGTTTATACAGGTGATTATCTTAGAAAGGTGGCTGTTAGAGCAGATTCGACTGTTCGATAAAATACCAGTTTATAGAATGGTCCTTTCTCCGCAAATTGAATTCGAATGCAACTAGTTTAGTACGTTGCGAGTTTACCCCTACTCAAACAATGGCAAGGTGGGAGTAGGACTTTGTGTTGGATGCGTTTATGAAGTGACATGACAGTAAAGATAAAAATATGATGTCTGAGGTACAAAATCCATTTAATAACACAAAGTTATTTTTGAAAAAAAAGGTCAAAGCCCTCTTAGTCGATGTCTCACACAGAGGACGCTTTTCTTATCGTGTACAATCGAACCTGTCTAAGACGACCAGTCATTGCCGAGGAGAAAAGTGGCCGTCTTAGACAGGTGGCTGTCTTGCAGAGTGTCTTTGTAATGTAAAAAAAATACGCCGGGGGGGGGGGAAGTGGTTGTCTGTACAGGAGATTGTCTTATACAGGTGGCCGTTAGAGCAGGTTCCACTGTTCTTCCTTCAGTCTCTTCTTCTGTCTGCAGGAATGCTGTGTCCGGTGTAGCCATGGGTGGCCCTGGCAGGTAGGAGTAAAGCAGCCGGCCTCCAAATTACCTAAATTTGTCTTTTTTGCGTAAAACACTTGCAATTACATGAACAATTCTTTTTTAAAGAAAGGTCAAAAGGTGACTGTGTTAATACCTCAGACTAGTTTATCATAATATTATAAAAGTGTTTTTTTAATAGCTTTGATTTGTCTTGTTTGTTTTTTGTGCTTTTATTTTTTCTTGAAGACATCGGAAGAGCTAACTTATTCAGTACGCACATAACTATTGACCATGCCATGTATTATGAAATCGTCGAGAAATCCCTCCTTCTCATGTGAGATGAAATGTAACTATCTTTCGGATCATCTGAGAGAGACAGAGTCTACATGAAAAGGCACACAAAAAGAGCCACATTTTTCATGCGAATGTATGCCTTTCAATTTTTCCCGAAGTCACTTTATATTCGAAGAATGTTGGCATGTTCAAAATGCAACCCCCCAAACAATTATTATAGTCCTTATTTGTTGCATGAGATGTGTTGCCATTGTTTTTCTCCCGTATTGATTTCATTCTGGTCCCATTGACTCACATGCAACAAATGTAAATGTTTCTTTTCATGCTTTGCCAGTGACGGTTGAGAGGGTAATATTGATTAAACTGTTAACTCTGTGTGGTCCGCTGTTTGAATCCCATTGTCCTCATTTGTCATCGTGTTTCGTTTCAGTTTTTACTTTAATTGCCTAAGAGTTTTTCTTGTCGTTTTCCAGGCCTGCATTAGTGTTGTACTGAGATGATCTTTCTTGATGATATTTTTTAGACTGTACTTTTGAAAGCCAAAACAAAATATTTCTTAATTTCTTTTCTTTCTTTTTTTTTAATTTACAAGGGGGAAAATATTAATTTTCGTTAGGAGAGATATCTAACTCTTTAATATTAGTACATTTTCCCAATGTTGATATTAATTTTGGGTTCCCTATTTTTTCCACCCTTCTATCAAATCAGTATCGCACGCAGTCTCTCTCAAATTCCAATCCTGAGTTAGGTCAAAAACGAAAGCAACAATTTAGGTTTGGATCTAGAACGGAAAATAAGATAAAATCTCAACAGAAAAAGGAGAAACTGGAAGGCAGATAATAAAAAGGCTGATCTGAATGAAAAGTAAGAAAAATCGCGTTACACACATAAGGATCTTAATAGAATATTAAATGCACATCCTATGAATCTTTCAAAACGACCACAAATTTGTCTGCTGTACGTTTCACTTGAGTAACTTTTGAAAAAAGTGCACAATAGTAATACAGAAACACGTAATATGGAAATAAAATCTACGACGGGTTTGTATTAAAAATGCGTAGATATACAATGAGAAAGTATTATAGCGACTGATAGATCTAGAATTAACAGTTGAGTTCAAATCTCCGTAAGTTAATTTCCATTTCTTTTTTGTATTTCAGTCATATGTGAATTTGTGAATTTTGTTGCAGCATTTAAAAACCTTTTTCTAAAAAAATATACGTATACATTTTGTTCGGGTATAGAAAAAAAACCCAACTCTGAGAGATGTGTTCGACTTTTCTAGTCCTTGGAATGTTCCAGAAAACAGTTGGGGTTCTTATTCTAGTGTTGTGAAGTCTGAAAGGCAGGCTGCGAGATTAGAAAGAAAACTTAGACAACGCCGGCAAGCTATTAAAATATTCTAAGCCCAGAAGCTAAATTTTAATTGTAATGCGTCAGAGGAGAGAGAAAAAAAACAACTGCTTCCTTTTTTCAACACTTGCATCTACTTTACGATTATTTTCGGGCTTTTTTCACGACATATAGTATTTTTCGAGCACACGCAACTAACTGATATCACAGATTAAGACAGTAATTATTTTAGTAATTTAATTTCTTTGTTGTTGTCTTTTATATCCAATTCAAAATGTTGGGCTAAGTTCATCTGAACAGCTATCCGTGGACAAGCCGGATGTGATGGTTTGCTATACCTGAGAATATTATATTAAGGTCTTTCTTGGATTTCGTTAGGGTGTATGTGTGTGTCCGTGAGGCG